TTTCCTCTTTAATCTAAAACATTCATTTGAAGTCACCAGCATGTTCACAATGAACAAAATTCACGTTAGTTTATAAGAACGATCAGTTCAGAGTATTCTGCAACTCGGAGCTGAAACCACCCAGCCAAGGTGAAGACAACCTGCATGGAAGGAGGCATGAAGCTGTCCCCACACCAACTGGGCAACAAGTGAGCTGGGAACCAGTTCAGAACAAGAACAGGATGCGAAATAAACTCCCCCTGCTCAGGCCCATCCCTGTAAGAGGTGCGAAACCTCCCGCGCTGCGCCTGGCCCAGTGACTAGAGAAGAACAGCTCCAAAACCCAGGACCAGTCCTCGAAAACCAATTTTCAACAGCGCACCTCGACAGCTCCTTAAACCAACTTCAACACGTCAACTTCAAACACTGTATTTTATTACCATATTAGCAAAATGTTGTATTAAAATGTTATTTTAAAGACTGCTAACAAGATATTAACAGGAGAGGCAGCGCTCTGAGGCCAGGGCGACCTCCACCACCCAGCTTCCACTGTACCTGCAGTGCAATGGCTCCCAGCTGCTCCCGTTTTACAGGTGAGGAAACAAACTCCCCTGTCTTGCAGTGGAAAACAAGGGCTGAAGCACCAGCTAGAGCTAAGTCTTCCCCTCCAATTTTCTCCTGCCTTTCAAGAAAGCTAGAACACAACCAAAAATATGCGAGAGCGCCTCAAATGCTTTGCGGTGCTGGCTTAAAACTAGAAGAACAGGGCACTCCTTATGTCCAACAGCCAGTACCAAACCAGTAGAATAAGCGGTATGGTTTCTGTTTCCTCTCTTACGGGGCAAATATGAGCACGGACACACACACACACGGGATTTAGAAGGTCTGGAAATAAACGGAGAGAAGCTGTGAGCGCTGCCGAACAGCAGAGGGTCTTTGCAGCAAGGGAAATTCTGTCCTGGTGCATCAATCAGCTGACTTCACTACGGCCAGGATTTGGAGCAGAAAGAGCAAATCGCCTCGGGATCACGGACCGAAAGGAACGGTGTGAGGCCAAGCCGTGTTCCCTTGCGGTCACAGGAAAGAGTTGGCTTCGCCTGGGCACGCAATATCCAGGAACCGAATCTCAAGAGTCAGAAACGCCGTCCTGTTGGATGTGGCAAAGCCAAATCAAAGGTGGTACGAGCCAGGACGACTGTCACAGTGGGACAACAGCACTAGCCCACCCCATCGGAAACGCGCTCTCTCCTCGCCTCCAAGATTACAAATTAGGAAGAAAAAAAAAAAAAAAAAAAAAAAGAGCTTTGCAAAAGCATTCCTTTTGTACAGCAACTGCCAGTTTCAAACAGGCTCATATACCACCACTTAGTTTCCCCTTAAATCATACCATCTAAGGGGGGGGCAGTGACACTTGCCACTATTAATACCCCTTTAATCAGCAGACAGCATCAGCGAAGACACAAAGCAGCACATTTCTGGAAACAATAGCTCCAATCTGGCGAATGACACTTTTCTGTTTCAAGGCTGGTATACCTCAGCATGAAAAAAACCCACAAAAAACCCACCCCATCCTGCACAGCTCATCCTGACTCAACACCCAAAGTCCCTCTTATCAACTGAAAACCTGACAACTGAGCACTCTGTCCTGGGAAGGGACAGGACAGGACTGGTTTTCACAGGATATCCTTCTCAAAATCCCTGAAACCTGTCAGTAGCCAAGCACCCCAACCCTGGAGAAGGCAACAGGAGAAAATACCAAAATAAATTTCCCTTCAAGTTGACACCCACTGGTTTTCCAGAGAGCACGAGCTGTTAACCTCACACGTGCAAGCAGACCACCAAGGTCTTCACACTGAGGTCACTGCAATATTCCTAGAAATGCAAGTGTATTACTGCAGGCTAGGGATTTTTTTTGGTTTTGGTTGGTTTCTTTCAAAATAAAGATAAAACAATTCTTACGGGGAAGCAGTTGGTGACACACTCTACCACAAAAGCGGCTGTTAGGGGTTTCACAAAGTCCTAAACTGCTTCAGGTAGGATCGCACTGGGAGTCAGCTTCATCATTTTGGGTCAGGAGAACACCCAAACCTTTTAAAAAGCTGGATTAGCAGAGCAAAGCGAGACACTCGGAAGAAATGGAGGTTAGTCTCTGAGGACACGATGGGCACAGGCACCAGAAAAGGCCAAGCAAGAGGATGATTTCGGCGTTTTCAACACTGAACCGTTCATCTCCTTTCACCGGTCAACGGGAATACCACAAACACTAAGCAAAGCATTTTTCATATGATTTCTTTGAACTATTTGAGGGAATTTTGAAGAAGTGACTCTAGCAGCGAGAAGCACAAAGGAATATTCAGGAGTTCCCAGACTTTCACAAGAGCTTGTCCATCTGCTTGGGCAGCAAGCAGGAATCAAACCGCCAACCAGACAAAGGTCCAGGCGAGCTGGAAGCCAAGCGAAACAATTGCAGCTTGCTCCAAGTCCAAAACAAGCCAAACCTTGAGACATTTCAGCTTCAAGGAACAGGAACGCAGAAACACATCGCCGCCATCCAAAGCCCGGTGGCAGAGAGAGACAAAGAGCTGGTAGCAACGGGACTTCCCGGACACCAGACCGCAGGCGGGGAGCTGCACCACCAGCTGCTGCCAGAGCAGCACTTTAACTTTCCAGTGCCTCAACTCTGGTTTCTGATGTACTTTTTTTTTTAATTTATTTTGAATCCAGGTGATTACCCGAGGTGCTGCAAGGCAGACGTAGCACGGCTTGGGGTTTTTCCTCGCTGCCCACAGCCCCGGGGTAACCCTCAGCATTCAAACAACCCTCCTTGAGCAACAACGACCGCTTCTCGATGAAACCATGAAAGGGCAGTTACAGAAACCTCAACCCTCTTCAAGGCTGCGTCAGCGAGCCATCGAGGAGGTCAAACTGCTGCCGAAAAGAAAGACCAAGTCACTTCCTCCGAGCCGGATGTCGCAGGGCAGGGGCCTGAGCGCGCAACAAAGGGTGAGTCAAGGGTGAAAAGCGAACGCCAGCCGTCCATCCGCGAGACTCCCTCCTCGCCGAGGAATTCCACCGCCACATGACTAAGTTCCCTTGCAAAGAATCAATGTTTTCCACATCAACCGCTCCCGCGCCGGAGCTGACGCTGAATCCACTCGAACGGCACCGAGGAAGGAGGC